TACGGGCACCTTTAGTTGCACAAAGCACATCTAGACGGTACTCAATTTCCTGCCATGTTCGTTGTAGCATAGCTTATCAACGATGGCAATGGCATTGGGAATTCTTTGTTTTACGTTTGTCATGTACCGTACTTTTGCTCGATACACAATATATTTTACGTAACCCCAAAGAAAGAAGCCCAGGGAGTGATGTCTGGTAAACGTGGTGGTCATGGAATCGGCCCATCCCTTCTGATCCATCGGTCGGGAAAAGTTTCGTTGAGAAACTCACGAACATGCAGTCCCCAGTGTAGTGGTGCACCATCTTGTTGGTATATAGTGGTAGGTTGAAAGGTTGATGGTTGCCTTGTTAAAAAAATGCCAAATTATCCCATTGCACATGATTCCACATCAAACATTAACTTTTGGACTCGCTGGCGTTCTCTACTCGCATGGGGGATTCCGATCCCGAAATTCTTACATTGTGTTTATTTAACTTTCCAGAAACATGAAAATTTGCCTCACCACTGAAACAGATTCGCTTTAGGAATGCTTCATTCTCAGAAACTCTTTGCAGCGTGCAAATTCTTTTGGTTTCGGCATTTCGTTTGGCTGACATGCCAGTACCATTTACACTTTGTATGAGGTTAAAATCTTGAATTCTTTTATAGGGCTTTGTACACTGTTGAACGTTGTAGTTTCAATAGTCTGGCAGCGGTATGGATGGAATTCATAGAAGAACGCTAAAGGGCTTGCGTTACACGCTCGACGTTTTCTTCGGATATTTTTGATCGCCCTTATCGTATCGTATCGAATACTCTCCTTGTCCCCATAAATTTCTTATGCCATAAACGTGATGGTGGGTCTCTTTCCATACTTAAGTCTGTAGTTTTGCAGGAACTCAACATGTGATTTTGTCTCAACCAGAATAGAATACACAATACACAATTTTATTGAGAAGTAGACATTTTATGGGAGTTTGGTTCATATACTTCAATCATTGAACATAAGACATTCTAACTAAGAAATTTATCTGAAACAATAAATTCTACTGTCAATAAAAATTTTATCAAATGTCGATTAACATAAAACAACCCTCAGTACGATACCTTATCATTTCACTTTAAAATAATTTTTGAATTGTAAAAAGCCTTTATGGACACCCTGTATAACAAATTTTAAAATATTAATAATTCGTCAAAGGCCGCACGCACAAATAGGGTTCAATGGAATCTTAAATAGGCGCGCACTCAAAATGAAAGTCCCGAACATTAAGTAAGTGATAGTCACAATTCTTTCAAAGGTAGCAACATCCTATGTCATAAACTTCAAATAAAATATTTTATCCTTTTTAAGTAAAGCGCAAATCTTAATGAGGTGAAAGGAGCAGAAAACCCGATTTGTTCTCAATAGAAAACAGATGCTGTAATAGAGATGTGTTTTTTATCATAAATAATTTGTTTAAAACATACGCCCTGGCCATGTATGCGTGCTGTAAAATAATGGTTGTGAATTGCCTGTTTCAAAAATATGAGTTAAATCAATGAATGTCAAAAATGCAATGACGTGTTTCACCTTCTAAAGCAGTGGTTCTTAACCATTGTGAGCCTGCCGAACCCCTGCGCTATTTTGCAAGCTCCCGTCGAACCCCATCGTACTGAACGGTTGAAATTAGGTGCCAAACCCTACCTTTATGAAGGGTAAGCTAATTTCTTGCAAGGTTATAGAAAATGAACATTGTGATAAAATATTAGATATCAATAACCATGTGGAAGTAGCCATTGTTTTGTCACAATAGTGTTGGTGACAGGAAAAGCAGATATTTTTTTGTTGTATAAGTTATGCGGGTGAAAAGGCGAAAAACTGATAAAAAAAAATAGCAACTTTGAAAATCCGAAAGATGATAATATGTCTCATAAACGTTGGTAGTTCAAATCGTTTGTCCTCAAACTTCTAACTGGGTTGAAATGCGGATAAAAGCGTTTTCAATTGTTTTTTTTTTACGGAAATAGAGATAGGATATGACTCGGCACCAGATGAAGGCTGTCCTGAATGGATCATGATAATTTCGGGCAAAGCTCTGCAATGAAGTATTGCTCGTCGCAAAATTTATCACTTAGTGAAATTCGAACACGCTTTGATTTTGCGTTCATTTATGTACAATTACTGCTTATCTTCGATTTATCCGTAAAACTTAGTTAAATTTTATTAGTAGGGTAGAATATGAATAAGGGTCACGCATATATTCAGCTTAAAACACCTTTGTTTGTCTTACAAACCTAAGATATTTGAAAGCCATATTATAGATATCACAGATAAGTACACACACCCAAGCATACGACATCTGTGAAGATTTGAGTTCTCGATAAAATGTACTGGAATCTAAGGCGTAACACCGACAGGTCCACTAAAACTTATATTTGAGCGAAGCTATACACACAGCAACGTTAATTTATTAATTGTTGGACGTGTAAGTTTGATATCTGAGATGAACTATAGGTATTTTTGCATAATTAGTAGGCGAGATGATAGAAAAGTTTCCTAATATGCAACGGTTTCAGAGGACCTTCGTCGAACACCTCCACCGAACCCCAGGGGTTCGATCGAACCCAGGTTAAGAAACACTGTTCCAAAGTATTAACTTTGATTGATGGGTCAAGCTAGAAAAAAACGAAGAAAACATCAAGATATTGTAATAGCACGTTACTCCCAGACGTATAATTGTTATTCTGTTCAATGTAACAAGTAGTTCACGCTATTTACTGAGGCTTTGATGAGCTGAGCCAATAAAATTATATCAGAAAGTTCACAGACGTTAAAATTAGTTACAGCGGTCGTTGATTTATTCATCGGAGGAAGTTTTCAAACTCACATTCGACAACCATGCTGTTTTCAATACAACATTTGATAAACGAACCATTTTTGGACAAACCTTCGAAGTTAAGAACACTTATTGCTTTGATTCCTATGTTCAACCTAGATTCACTTATTCATTGGTAGCTGATTGAGGTTCATAAAAATTATAATGTAGGTTTATTGTCGTGAAAACATGGATAACGTCAAAGTCAATTCGATACCGTAATTTGTATACAGTGGGTATTGTCGGCTTATTCTAGAAAACAAATCTACTAGATTTAATCGTGATTAAGCGCCTTCAGTTGAATAAAGGGATGTTGGAAAATGCTGAAGTGGATCTTGATTTATAACATTGCCCGATATTATTCAAAATTATAACTTTGCCATTCGGTATATAACTATTTTTGATGGGACGGTACTTCAAAGATGGAGTTCCGCCGTCGATGTTACGCTTAATCAAAACTGCTTTTAAATTCATTGAATATTATTTTTATGATTGTCAGTTCCAAGAGTAATGCCATACGAATAAAAAACACAGTTGTATGGAGCGGTAACCATAATAAGACAATATGCAATATTTTTTGAGACTACCAATAAACAGAGTATTTTCTTGGCTTGGTGAAATAGAAACATAACAAATATATATTCCTAAAAAGCTGCATGAATAATACATCTTGAACTAAGAATTGTAATCAAACAACTACGTAACCTGTACTGCATCAATCGTTTTTGCGAAAAGGGTGTCAAACAAATTGGCACTGCCTTTCTTTGATGGTCCGCATCAGAATTCAAAATATTATTCAAAATTATGCATATATATCTCAATATTAAGTATGGTTTTCTGTAAAATAGTTTATCAAATACTCTGGTATTGCATGGCGGTCGAGATGATTACGTAGGCGGTCATGTATTACACTTCACCAATGGCATGATTGCGCACTCAAGACATGGTCAATTGTTATTCATGGATTCGCAATTCTATACAGATGCCGTCGTTTTTTCATCCGAGTCAGATTTCCACTTCCATAAAATAAATATGGAAATCTTTAATGAAATTAGAATTGGTGCTGAGTCGTCATAATCCACGATAGACAAGTTACATTATGGCAAAAATAATGGACAATACAATTGCTAGATCACGTGTGATGTTCTGTCATTTAACTTGGCTAACTGCTCAATTATTACGTAAATAGGTTTTTGCATACTTGCTAGTGTGATCATTTCAAAATTCTACACTTTCAACACAAATTGATGACACATATATTCTGACTACCTGACTACCAATACGCGTTATCCAGGCGGAAATTGTTATTCTGAACTATTGACACTACTCAATCTTCATTCGTTTATGCCTGATTCACTTTTGATAAAAGGTCGATTTGCAATGAAGTTAAGCGACACGTATACGTATTTCCCGGTATCCTTGCTAATATTTTCTGTTCATTCAATAGTATATACAAACCAGAGAGTGAAATATCTGTCAATAGATAGAAATAAAGAGAATTTAACTCAGATTCACAGCCACAAATAATAAGGCACATATTATCAGGACTGCGGATTGAGATTTTTCAGTTTTTTTAAATTTTGCTTTTGTCGGCCTATTGAATCATTTCAGAAAAGTATTCACAGTTGCATTATTACCAATTTTAGGAGTTTAATTCCACATGATAAATTAGTGAACATGTTGTAGTAGGGCATGTCTGCTGCTTTCCTCAAATGAATTAATAACAGGTTAGACTTTTGATTGAGATTTTTGAATCGCATAGATGAATTTAGCACAATTCTCGCTGTGCGATTATTACCTGGCTACGAAGATGTAGTTAGATTAGACGGGGAAAGTTTTAAATTTTGGTGTAGTGCTTTTCATGTCAGCCGCAACGGTCTAATGAGTTAGTTCATATATTTTAAAAACAGTTAATAATTGCAGTTCAATCTAGGATTTTGATTGTCCGTGGCAACTATAAGATTTTATAATTAAATACATTTTTTACATATTTTGTTACCTTTGACGATCACAGCAGAGATGATTTTATGTGCTTCTATCCTATATTAATATTAATAAAAAAAATTCCTATGCTAAAATGCATTATTAAGTCGTTTTAGATTAACGTTAATATGTTCATACTATGAACATTCAAGAAAGAAACATTTTGTGGGAATACAAGATGAATTTACCAGCTTTGACAATTTTGTTTTTCGCGATTACGCATATTTCTTCAGGTCAAGGTAAGCGTCTAACTTTATTCAATTACTTTGTGTAACACTGATAACTTAGGAATACTTCTACTACTTGGAGGCAAATTTTGCAAAAATTGTCTATCGGATGAAAAATATTGATCATTCGAACGGATAATCCGTCCCACAAACATTTCCTCTGTGTATATCAGAAAATCATTATCCGAATTTTTAGGCTACTACGTGTTGGATTAAGTTCATATTTTGATATCAAATTTCAGAGCCAACATTAAGTGTATTCACATTTCTCATATGTTTCAAATCTTAAATGTTTATACTGGTGCTAGTTGCAAATATTAAGATTAAAACAAAATTGTTTTACCTGTCATGGTGATATCGTGATTATTTCGAGTATTATTTCAATATTTATTGTTTTCTATTTTTATATAACGTCACTAAATACCTCAGGTGTACAAAATTTTAGTACTTGTGATATAATGTTTTTTTTTCAACTTTTCAAATATAGTCGTTGGAATGAATATTTTGGTTACAATCATCTTCGAAAAATCTTTAAAATTTATTGGATATGCTTTCCTCGGCAATAAAAGATCTAAAACACTGAACTCAGAATATATTTCACAAAATGATTGTAGAGTCTTGCTGACCACAAGTCAAAGATATTTACTGTGATGTTCCGTTTGACCAAAGTAGGACTTAATCAGCCAACCATAATCCAACTACCATAACAAGGCAAATAGAGAAAAATCAAAAAACAAATTAACCAATAAACAATAGTTGCCTCGTTCGGCATATTATGGCAAATATTACACAATCCTTGCATAGTTGAATAGCGATTTGTACATCAGTCGCAAATAACAAGATAACAAGACTTGAAAATCTTTCTTTGTTATTTGAATTATTGTACGACAATTTCTACATATACTGTCTATTGTAATTTTGTCATCTTCTCCAATATTGGGCATAAGTGAAAAAGTGTTTTCTCAGACATTACTTCCGATTTATAGAGCCGTGGAAAAGCGAATGTGTTGATGGATTCAAACTTCTGTTTTTCAAAGAAAAGAAAAATTACACTGAAGCAAAATCAGCTTGTGAATCTGCGGGAAGTTATCTCGCCAAAGTTGATAATCAAAAAATAACCGACGTTATAAATCCAGTACTCAAGTAAGTTGCACTGTTTACGGGAAAATAACATTTTATTTTTGTAGTCAAGGATAATATCAACTTTAATTTTATCCCATTAATAGCGCTATTTTTTATGTACTTTGGACTTAACCGGATCGGTGGATATATTTCAAATACCAGAATATTCGGTATATAGTCCACGCAATTTATTTCAAATATTAGAATGCGAGTATGAGATCATGTAAGTGGGACGACAATATATGGTAACGCACAATTGATTTAAATATGTTGGGTCTGTTCAATTCTGTAAATACTTGTTCGTAGGGATGATTTAAAACATTGATATGAAATAAGCTGCACTGATTTATGTGGATATTGCCAAATATTTAGCCAACTTGCGTTACAGATACCATTACAAGAGCTTCCTGACCCATATTTGAGCCTCATGCCTTGTTCATGTGCACGAAGTTAATTTAAATCATATTAAAAAAAATTCGTTTACACTTATTTTTCCTGTAATAATTATTTTAATTTTCAACCTATTCAGAATCGATCAATTTAACGACAAATTCTTTATTGGAGGCAACGCCATAGCTAAAGAAGATGATTGGAAATGGCAGGATGGGACTGACGTCATAATGAGAGGAGAGAAAGGATATCAAAACTGGTTAGCTGTCAAAAAATTTATAGATTTTTCAACTTCTATGACAAATAAACGAGTAACAAATCTCTTAGCCAATTATTGGCAACCTCATTGTAACTATGTGCAAAAATCATTTATTGAGTTGTAAGTCCATCTCTTCATTTTTTGATGCAGGGGGGCTACAGAACCAAACAGTCATGGAACGGGAATTGAGCATTGTTTGGTTGTTGGTCTGAGAAACTCTTTTTGGGTAGATTATACGTGCGAGGAAAGACTCAATTATATTTGCCAAAAAGGTGATGAAATATACCAGATATTGTAATTATCTCATACAATTTTATTGTAGTTTCTTTACACAAAAACACCAAATTGTACAGCAAAAAAATCAAAGAATAGTTCTCCAATAATTAGTATATAAAATGATTAATGTATACAAACAAACAGTAACCTATAATTGCAGTAAATTATTTTGAAATATTATACAAACAAGAATATTATACAATAATCATTGTTAGTAAATTTTGTGATATTCTTGTGATAGCCAGGCATGTGATATAAATTTAATAAACTCTAATTTTGATGTAGAATATCTTTTAAAACAGAGTTCCAAGGTCCTTATCTGGAAATACAAAGTACAGGTCAAAATCAAATGACTTGTGCTAAGACCAGGTGTAACCCGGGTACTAATGTTGAATGGTATTATGCGAGTTCCGTGATACCAACAGATCCTAGCAAGCGTGTTTATCAAACAAAGCAATCTGGATCAGCAATATTACATCTACAAAACGCAGATATATCATATGCAGGGAACTACTCCTGTTGGTCTTGGGTTAAAAATGGAGAAAATAAAATTAATTATGAAGGTAACCTTGAATTAAAATTGTTGGCTCATGTTTATTCCCGTTTCAATTGAAACTGGCTGATTGGGATTTTATATTCTAAAGCCCTATGCACGAGACATGTTCCGTTACTCGGCTACAGTAGCGATTATCTCATATATACACGTAATTTCTAGACTAGGACATTTAGTAATCCCGTTGGATAAGTACCAGGTTAGGATTAGGCCATAATTTTATTCTTATTTTACTTGATTTAGTTCTATTACGAGTTCGGGGACTGTTTCTGTTAGCCAAGTGAATACACCCCCTGCTCCTAGAATTCAGTTCCTTCACACAAACTAATGTAAAATAATCGAACAAAACTTGTTACCTCCATATTGGTACACATATATACTAGAGATGTACCGATACCACTTTTGTCGCCGATACCGATACCGATCCGATACCAGCCAAAACGCCGATACCGATACCGATACGCCGATACCACAAAAAGGCCGATATTACCGACATTCCGATACCGATACTATGTAATTATTACTTAATTAGGTGTGCTGTGTAGGGCAGACGGGTTAAAACAATGGTTGTTCATAGTACACATTATTTCAGATCGAAAAAAAAGATATATCACATAATATGAAATTAATGTTTGGTGTTTGCTTCAACTGATTTTACATACATTATACAGTAACGCTAGTAATCTCGGTGTTCAATTAGAAAACTCATTAAGCCCGGATGTCCCATTTAAACTTAATATGAATATCGCGACCTTCGAATATCGTTATTCGTGTTTAAAAGAATATCGAATATCACCCACACATTCTAGCGCCGCCGTCCTACGTTCAGATTGAAAGCATTTTACAAATATTTTATTTCGTGGCTAATCGTAATCGTCGACGCAATAAGTCAAAGCCAAAATGAAAGAATATCAATCAGCACCGACAAAAAGAAGGCCTACCTATAACCGTCGAGGATGTTTTTTTACTTTACTATTTTATAATATAAAATATTTTACAATCATATATTTTGAATTTCGGAATTTAGTTTATCGATGTCGACGGACTAAATGACACTCGTACTTGACGACAAACAGTCAGAACTTATACCCGTGCCAAAAGTCCATGTGCCGTTGATAAGGACCCCAATTCCACTGTATGATTTGAAACTGGGCGCCTAGTTGCTTTTTGTTATGTGCTGTGTTGATATATTTCTTCATAATTACTATGTAATATTAAAAATGTCAATATTAAAATTTGACAGCGAAAATAGCCAAATTAATTGAGCTAGTTTGGCTGATGAATAGCTAAAAACACGTGAATCCTATTCTCTCGCGGGGGTGGGGACATGTATGGCTCATAGCTCACGATCTCTCCAGACAAAAAATAAATTAAAAAGTAGTATTCCAACTTATCTTTTAAAATATTCTGGACCATATCAAAAAGATAAATATATCGGAAATATCGGCCTTGGTTTAACCGATACCGATACATGGCCGATACCGAAAAAATGACCGATATTGCCGATACCGATACCCGATACCGATACATCGGTACATCTCTAATATATACTACTAGGGCGCTAAACATTTCTAATTGTCTCTATAGATTAGTCGAATATAAATAATGACGTACGAAACAGAAGAGCAATAAGTACATATACATATAGACACAAAGTTCATGAAATAGTAGTATCAAACTTTTTAAATATCGGCAGTCTTCCTTATCAAAAAACTTCCCTCTGACCACAAGATCTATGAAACACGGTGGTGGAATCGCCGCATGGTGCGCAATCTTAAATTTTGATGACGAAATCACGTAAAACTTAAGAATGAGAAAAAAAATTATAGAGCTCACGGAAATTTTTATAGTAATAAAAAGTATTCACCTTACAGAAATAGCAACATTCATTAACCACTCACACTTGTGTTTAATGTTGACGCAGATATCGAAATGCGGCTCCTATCCCACTTTTTATGTATTCTAAATCTATTCCATCACAGGAAAGATTCTAATTGACCTTCAGACATTAAGCTTTTATTCAGTTTGAAAATATTACGTTTGCTAACTAACCGCATAATTTATCAGTTGATGGGACTCCAACAATTAATCATATTCAGAAATACGCTTGCAACTCCGATTTGTTGATCTCGTGGGAACCTCACAAAAATGCAGTTGGATTTCCTCATAGGTGAGCCCACTATCCTCGTCATTTACATTTTATCTGAGTTAATTTGTGAGCGAAAGTATATTTTGATTTTTTTTTTAATTCCGCTTTTTACCGTTATTTCTTATGAGCAATCCAATTTTCATGTGACGTTAAGATAGCCTATGTTATTGACGTCTTTTCGTAGTTTAGTTAGGTAATATTGTTTTGTTTTGGTTGTAGTCATGGATGAATGTATATCATCCGTAATATGAATTAGGCTTCTGGGTGACAATGGAGTTATCTTATCTGATACCTGTATTGTTGTGTCATAATTTGCAACCTTTCATATTTCACATTCATTTTTCTTGATAAAATCAGAAGCGTAAGAATTGATTAGGAAAAATATAGCAGCAGCGCTTTAACCATTCTTGCCAATACCTTTCTATTTTTAATGGTAGTTTTCCCGAGGTTTAAAATTTTGTTTTGAAGCAAGAGACACCATAGAGCCGTAGAATAGCAATTGCTTGTTCAAATTAAGACAAGAAAAACTACAGTTTTGGAATAACTTATATTTTTTTCCCTTTCTATAATTTCGTGTTACTTTTTGAGCATCATTTATTTTCTCAGAATTTCAGTACTAGGACCATTGCTTAAGGGAGAAAGAAAATGGGTTTCACCGCTGAAACCGCTGACACAGTCGACATTGATAAGTAATTTAGATTCGGATACAACTTATAAAATATGGGTAAGAAATAGCCGACCAAATTAGACTAGATTCTTCATTATCAAGAAAAGAAGTGACCTAATATATGAACACAAATATAGCACCTTGTGGTATAATGCAATTGGCAAGTTTAGCAGAAAACCCGAGTGGCAAATTTTTCTGAATTAGTAGAATTAGGGGCAAAACAGTTGTTCTCAGAAACCAGCAAAATATATGAAAAAAACGTAAAAGCAATTGCATATTGAAAGACATTTTCATTTTCAACTACTAAAATTTTGAAATTTGGATTTTTGTGGTCTCAACTAAATAATTTTCAAGAAATATATATTTATATGTGTCAAATCAGAAAATAAAACGTTTTTAAAATATTATAACACTTTTATGTATTGCTATAATCTTGTAAATAATGATTTATGCTTTAGTAAAGTGATAAATTAAGAATATTCTTTCTTTCAGATTGAAGCATGCTTATCAAAAGATGCGTGTACAGAATTGGAGTCCGACACGTACGCACGATCAATCATAAAAACAGGAGGAAAAGCTCTAAGCGCAAAATCAGCTTTCTTTAAACAAATTGAAGAAAATGAAACCTGCATTATATCATGGGATATAGATAATGAAGAAAGCATAGAATTGTATACCGTGGTAAGTCAATAATTCACCTTTATTATTTATTTACTCTCTGTTTTGGTACGAAAACGAACTAATTAAATTGCATAAACCACTATTCTAACAGAGTTCAGAAATAGGCTTACGTTAAATACAAAAGTGTGTATAGAGTAATTGTGAGTTCAACCTAGGTATAATAAACTGGTGATTTCAAATCATAATAATATCGGTACTCTTGAGAAATGCAGTGCGACGCAAGTATGACAAACTGTTTTTTTTGGGAGGGGGATAAGTAATAAAGCCTCGAAACAGATCTAAAATATGATCACTTCGCAGAACATTGATGAAGCTTGAAACATGATAAATTGAAAAAACGTCGAGCATATAAATTATATGTAAAATGTAAAACGAGATAGTAAGAAGACATTTAAAAGAACAAAAGAATTATATTATCGAATATCCAAGGCTTGTAATACATCGATCATTTTTCAGGAATTGGTTTTGAACTCAACTCTGGTCACATCGCGGTCTTCTCAAATACAAAAGGTAGACTCAAACGTATCAAACATGACATCAGCAAGTGAGTATCACTTTCAACCAAAGCCAAATCGAGAGTACTCTGCGTCCGTTATGATATTCAGTTGTGCTGGATCAAGTAAATCTTTGAGAGTGCGTGGTTCATGTAGTGGAACTTCAAAAGGTAATTAAAGTCGTTACCGTTTCCTCTCTCTATTTCTGTTGATATGAGTGCGTTTAGCGTGTTGAATATACATTGAGTGTCTTCTGATAGCCTTCTCGTAAAACTGCAATACAATATTTCGACACAACACATTAATTCATTGTAATTTATAGCGACAACTAGAAGTCCTACAAGCAATCATGATTCAGTCCTATATCAATGTAAATAAAGTTCGTCTAGTTTTGTAAACGTAAAATTAACTTGCAAGCAAGTATACTACCATCACAATATTATACAATTATTCCACTATCACAAAACAATTATTTAAAATAGGTTTTCAATGATAGTTCACTTTCAGCTCCAACAATGGTTCATCCTCCCAAAATTGTTGGAGATTCAGGGATCAGCAAGAGTGGCGAAATAAATATTACGATACAAATGCCTTATGAAAGTAATGGTCTTATTAGGTGAGGTCTTAAGCTTATTAAACAATATAGTAATACTCCAATTTTTGGAAAATATGTCCATGCATCCTGTACCCCAACGATAAGATCTGAGAGTATCGATTTTGCTGAAAAAAAAATGGCGTACACGCATGGCAGGTTCAGAAAAAAGAAAATTTTCCAATAAATCAAAACTAAATAGCAAGGCTTTGGTTGAAATATTGGGTTTCATAGGTCTAAGCTTTTTATTCGTTAATATAGAATTGGTACAACACAATTAACATGTACACCACAGTCTGTTTTGTCTGCTCAATTATTTTAATCAATGATCTTTTGTAAGGACAGCGCATTACAGATGTTATCACATATTGTTCACTAACCAAACTATCTCAATCAGCCATTTTGACCGAAATATTTGATTTTCTAAGAGTTCCTGAATTTTGAAGTTTCGGATCATGTGATAGACGACAATAAAGTGTCAAATATAATTGGTTAATTTCGACATATGAAAGCAAATCTCTAACTTGGGGTTTAAGTATGATAGACAAATTAGGATTGATACACTTTGCTTTGCAGTTGCATATTCGTACTTGTTGACAAGGACTGTTTTGAAACAAGCACTGAATTTACAATGGATGATTTGATTACTTTCAACAGCACAGCGGATGGGAAAAAATACATTGCCATGGCAAATCAAGTTGCGAAGTAAATTTAATGCAAAAATATTGCCACATGATAGTCCACCATGTTGCTTACCTGAGTTATTTATGCTTTTCGTTGAATAATTTCAATTTGATATCGGCAAAGGGTATCACAGGGTGTCAGGGTAAATATTATATAATTATATTTTAGCATAAAAGAAAAGACTGTAAACGTTACACTCGGAGACGAGTCAGTAACTCAATGTGACATCGCAGGATTTGAAGCGACAGATGTGGCTATGGGAACCGACTTTTTATTCATCGGGACAAATCGGAAGTTAAATAAAGAAAATTTCCCCAGGTTCTGGGTTTAATATATATTATTTGACTTGATTTTGTCTGTGTTGCCATTTTATCCCAAGATCCGAATCATTTTTCGTCTACAATAAATCTATATTTCGACACAATCGATCCGCGAAATCTTGCGATATTTATAAGTTATTTGATAGCTTCATTTTTCTGCGTTAAGATCAAAAGAATCGCAAATTTTTCTTTAACCCATGTATATATTTTACGCAATTCAAGCCATAATTGCAGTATTATATTAATTGTGATTTTAATATGATTAGAAGACTTCGTGAAAGCAGAAATAACTTAATTTGATGCCCATATGTTTTATGGAAAAACATGTAAATAATATTACAATAATTTTGTATAATTGATGAAGGCAATGTTTCAGTCAGATTACTTGACTCGGTTAGTGTCTTGTATCGAACTTGTTTAAAATGAGGAAAACTTTAAAAAAATATGTCCAATATGTTTGTATACCATGAAATTACTTTCTACTGGAAAATCTATTTAATGTTCAAATAGCATGCCAATACAATATTTGCAGTACTTATGGAATTTCATGTAAAAATAACAAAAATATGTTAATACCATTTCGTAAAAGTTATTAACTTTTATTCTAGCATTTCGATCGTTTCTGCAACACCATCCGAAAAAGAGATTTACTTCAAAAAAAGTTTGCGGATAACGTTGGGAAAAGGTGAATTCATAGTCGTCAGTTATAGTTAAATTAATAATATTTTTCGCAATTATTAGTCATTTAATCGTCGATGGAGTAAAAGTCATTTTGTATTACAATATTCGATCAAGTCAGGCTTGAGTTAGACAAACTCTATCACAAATAGCTAGAAATAACCTATTTATTTTCCGATTAATATAGATGATTAGATAATAAAAGTTATATTTTGAATTTATTCGAAAGCTTAAATTTGAATTTTTGTTCAGAAAAGAAATCTTTTACTTTCAACTTCCCGAGTTTTGTGATTGGTTTCATTATCCCACTGTTGTTCCTCGGAATCACTGGATGGATCATACGAAAACTTAAGCTCAAGATAGAGGAAATGGAACAAAACGAAGCCATAAAAATTCATAACTACGAAACCATATCGGATCAAGGTAAAATTGTAATTACACTATTCAATAATTATGAGCAGTGTTGGGCTTGGTTTTTAACTGCCTAATTAATCGAAAATATAAATGTACATTAAAAAATTGCAGTTTGCATGCTTATCACGAACTGTAACACCATCGTAACGCAACGGAGTTGAACAATCAGTGTTGATATCAATGCTAAAAAAAAAACAGAAACTAGCTGAAATAGCTCTTTGAACAGTTATTCGACCAACAAAGAACGATCAAAATACAAAATACCTTCATTGAATTTTTAGATTCAATTGTAAAACAACATGCTTGTTTGCGCATGAATTATAATTGTACAACTCAATGTATTAAAAGTACTACAAATAGTCAAAGTAACCTAATACCCTGACACAAGTATAAAGTCACACTTTTCTGCTTATAGCTTTAGTAGAATGTAGAGCTGGGCATTTCGGATACCTGGTGATTTCAGAATCGCATCGAATATTATTTTCGAATCAAATCGAATTTCGTATACTTGAGAGTCAATGGGAGATATGTAAATGTATGAGACTTTTTTATTGTAATTGGTCCTGACAACAAATGAATTACTGAAAACATAAAATACATACCTAAGATCAACTGCGGAGCGTTCACAAAGTATAAAAAACGCTCACTACATAAATTCATATGTCCGAATGGCATTGAGAAAATATGTATACAATAAAAAATTGGTAATTGAACTCCACCATTGGCGGAAAGTAAAAGAAAAGATGGCAGCGATTCAAAATTCTGCTCTGAAACGATTCGAATAATTTACTATTCGAAGTGTCCATCCCTAGTAAAATGTTATTAATCTTCAGCAACAACTTCCACCCATCAAACTGCCGGAACGACATACGAAAATGTATTAGAAGAAATGGCTGGTTATGAACATCCACTTCCTTCAACAAGTGTTCAAGCCAACAAGAAACCTTCTACGAAAATTACAGGGCTTGATTGAGTGTTATCACACAAGAACTCACAGCCAATTTTTAACTTTGCATTAAAAGCCTGATCGTCTATTTGTATCGTAGAAATAATTTTAATTTTATTACCGGACTCGCCGTGATAAGGAAGATGGAGTCAACTATATAAGCGGAATTTTAAAGAATAAATATTTATTTGAACATGAAGTAACAAACTGTACTGAAATATATGCGCGATCTAAACATAACATAATGACTACAGTTAGTCGACAACTGGCCAAATTTTGCAGCAACAAATAGACGAGTCGTCGTCAATTTGGGGGAACAAGTTTAGACACGGAAGCCCCAAAAATAGAAAAAAATCTTTTAATTTTTTCAATTTTTTCAACGAAATACCTTGTTTTAACTACTGACTGCTTGAAATGATTTAACAACATCAACAACATTAATAACAATTCATCAAACTTCCCATAATAATTCTTGTGTTTTTCTTAGTTATTTCTAGTGCAGTGTAAAACAAGTTTTACTGATTTTGAGCCAAAGATATTTTGATCATATACTCGTACTGTCCACTTAGGGTGGATGTGATTTTTGGTCAAATTCATTTACAAAAATGCGAACTTTTTAGGTCATTGGTAAAGTTATATCTATTACATGGTCGATGAATTACTTTCGGTCTTATATTTATTGAATGAATTTATTAATTTACTTTTGAAAATTGACGGAAATCATTGGCTGGAATAATTTCCTGATAGTTATAATCAAGCTTAGAGGTAACGTACTAAACGAGCAATTGGAATCAAATAATTTCCGTTTTCATTTGATTAAAGACATTCTGAACCAATCTAACTTGTTTGGAATATGTAGAATGATAAAAAATCTTGTTTAGCCATTACTTTTTTCAAGAAACTATTTTAGGTTTTAGATTTGAATGCAAAAGAGAGAATTAGTGTCGAAATACTTTTGACGAAAAGTAATTTTATATGTAATGTAGGCCCATATGTATATGTAATGTGTATTTGCTTTTCTTTCTTAAAACAGAAAAATTATTTTAAATCAAAAAGAGCAATAAATTTGTCGCCGAGTAATGATATGTCTGAAGAAGTTAGTCTTAAGAGAATCTTCCAATTGACTCTATGTTTTTGCGAGATTAAATGTGATATTTTTATTGTTGTACGTAAGTATTCACATTCAAATATATTTATGATCAAATTCAGCCAAAAAGGTTAGAAAGCCCTAATAGTCTTTCATCGCCGGTCAACAGCAACTTATTGGACACTAAATGAACCTATTGGTTGTGTTGTCAAATAATTGTTGTTGCTGTTGTTGTTTTGAAAAATGTATTTTTTTCGTATCTAATGAATCAATCAATTTTAAGTTTTAGTACTCATGGATTAATGATGCTTATCTATCGAGCTATCACTTTTCCCTTTTTCAATTTTTATTTAATCTGGTGGACCCGATTCTTAATCCTAAAATTATGCTGTGTTATTTTAATTCACGGAAACACTTTTTATGGAAATTAAAAACAAATTTGACTTTGAACTCCGCGTCCATATATTGAACATTGTATTCTAGTACAGATTAGTTTGAATTGATAGAAATTAATGAACGTAAAATGATGCTTTCCGAAAAATAAACTAACGTGTTCATTGTTTTGATAATGATTGTACAATTGTTACTTGACAAAGCGGCTGAAGTATTTTCCAACGTATCTCCATGGCTTTTCTATTGTGATTCTATTTTGTTCTTGTATTACAAGCACTTACTTTTAAGAATCTAACTACAATGGGTTTGATAGTGAATAGACTATGCCAAGAGTCATCGAAAAAGAATCCACAAGATAAATATTTATGACTTTGGAAAAAACTAACGAGATATAGAACAATATGATAGTTCTCTAAAAACAATGCCCTTATCTATATCTGACCGATGAGAAAATAATTTCATATTTTTTCAATATAAATACTCATATAGGTTATTTATTGATATCTGAATAAATATAGTTGTCAGAACCTGGAGGCAAAAATAAAACTAACAAAAATTTCTGTAAAATCAAGGATGAAAGGGAAACAAATTTGGATACAAATAAAGATCTATATATACACGGATGAAATAGAAACCTATTTTTTCAGCACAATTTCTTGAAATAACTGAGTATAATTTATATTAGGTTGTTTCATAGGTAAACCATCAATCACAATTATGAAAATATACCAGACATAAGTAACACATTTGTTTTGGACGCAAATATAAAATGAAGCAAATTATAAAATATTATTATAAAATGTATTTCAGATCACATGATTGATTCATCTTGGGGCTACATTATACTTGATCTTTATGGATCCTCTTGAGACAAAGTTTGATTGTTAATTTGTGACAAAGTTTGATTGTTAATCAGCGGTTAAATTATTATTTTTACTTGCAGGACCTTCTTTTAGCTGACAGATGAATTAGATTTACATTCAGACTCAGTCCAACATGCCCTTATCTAATTAATCGATGTATTTAATATGATTTTTAGGTTTAATTTTTATCGAATTCAAACTTAAAATGACTTTAAAGTTCGTAAGATTGTCCAACTGGCATCAATATTTAAAACTTTGATTTGATTAAAATGTGATGATTTAATAAAAATAAATCAACATTTTTGCATAGGCAGCATGCATGTCAACTATTTTCATTTTAAGTCTAGCTTTTTTCCTTGCAAATTAAAAGCATTTGATCAAAACAATTGGTTGTTTGAGGTCAAGTATATGAATTCCTCACTTTTACTTTATATTCAGCACAGTGCCAAGTCATGAATTGCAGTTGATTGTTCCTTCTCAGGCAATGGGTTAATTCCAATTTCTTTATTCGTCTCTTCAGATAGGGTGGTTACATCAATCCTGCTCAAAATACAATACAATATATGCTACCAGCAATGTTATTTAAAATCTTGTAAAGTTTAGTGAAAATTAAAAATACTTGTGAGGAAATCTAAATGCTTTGACATGAGGCTTCCATAATTTTAGTAAGCTTGAGTTGCAGAGGTTATTTGATTTGCTGTAATATTAAAACGTAGAGTTTTAAAAGCTTTCGTCTTTTTATAATAATTTATATTTATTGATAAAATCCTAAAAACTCATTAAATTTAGTTCAAATTAAAATATTGTGGCTATGACGCCACAATTAACTTGTTATGACGTAGTAATGAGGATTTCGAGTTCGTCCATGTATTGACATTTTTTTAGAAAAATAAAATCATTATTACGGTTAAAACTGTTTGGTGAATGTATGATAAGCGTACTTTGTTCTTACGGTGAAAGTGATAGAATTTTCCAAATTATACGAACTCATTTATATAATATTGCAATATATATTTTTAGTTTATTGATTTAGTGAATGGACATTTTCCAAGTATTGCAAAACTAGGTTCTTGGCAATGGTGGTCGTTAATTTAATATTTTTGTATTTAAATGTTAGATTTGATAAATATATTGCTAATTGCTTTTATAATTTGCTATCTCTATCATTATACTGAATACCTTATTTTTGGAATATTGATATTTTGTTACATGGAGCACAGACCAATCAATGATTGATATAATTTTTTATTTGAAAAATTCTAACTTCGCTCGTACTCAAAATGAAAGTTTTAAACATTAAGTATTATCATTTTAACTAAATTCTATGCAATACCACTTCAAATTATTAATGCGAGGTATTTCTAAAAAAGATCAGAAATATCATATGTTGGTGCTTGGAATTTGTAATTCCAAATTGTTTCTCTAGCAAGACCTCAGAACAACTCATCTACTGCGTCAACCCACTGCATCAAATGCCTTCAAAGGCCCAATCGGACTCAAGCATCCATATGCGTCAACAAGCTTTCAAATGAATGAACAGTCAGTCTCCCTATGAACCGTAAATACGTAATTCAATCACTAAGAATTTAATAAGATTGATTGATTACTGATAAACGTTTTATCATTCCATGTCTTTTTGCTCAACAGTATTTGAGTATGATTCATTATAAAATTGCCGAGACGTAATTCGCTATTTAAAGTCGAGAAAGATATATATCGACAAACTTTTACAAGATTTTACCTATATCATTACATTGTTCCATGAGCTTTTCATGTTAAACAAATTCTCCAGAAACATTCAATGCAAAACTCAAAAATTGTGATACTATTGCATTTAAAAACAGACTTTATTGAACAGGCACGGGCAAAGTACGGCCCGCGGTCCAAATCCTGCCCGTTGGGTAATTCAATCTGGCCCGCCTGATGCTGCCACAACCAAACTGAAATCAAATTTTGATGTTTCAGCTAAAATAGCTAAGTAATTTGTAATAGTAATTTGTTGTGATTGTGGTTAAATTCAGTTTTGGCACGAGGCTTATTGTTTTCCACCTTTGCATTGTAACACTGTAAATATTGTTCATAAAATGTAACTTTTTACGTCACACTTACATGGCCCTCCAGTCTAAGTGGTTAAAATTTTTGGCCCCTGGTTTAAAAACCTTGCCCACTCCTGATATAAGAGATCGGATGAAATCAACTGTTTTTGTTTATATTAAATAAGTCTATAAACAACACCCAAACTGCAATTTGTCCTAAATGCGATACTGCTCGATATACTGTCGATGTGATTATTGCGTTAATTAAATAAGCAGACAATGCGGCATAAAAATTGTGCTGAAAAAATAGGTTTTTATCTCATTACATTGCATATGTAAATCTTTATTTGTAAATTTAAATTTTTTTCTATTTTATCGTTTCGATTTCGATTTTAATTGTTTTCTTTTTGCCTTCTTGACCTGAAAACTATATTTATTTAAATATAAATAAATAATTTATATGAGCATTTATATTGAAAAAATAAATGATATTATTTCCGCATCGGTTGGATTTAGATGAGGGCAACGTTTTTAGAGATCTCGTAGATTTTTTTTTGATGAGTCTGGATGTAGTCTATTTACTATCACAACCATTGTGGTTAGAGAGCAAGTGCTTGTAATACATGAACGAAATGTACAATTTTCACATTTATGGACAAGGAGGTCAAAGGCCCACTTTTTTTTACTAAACTTTTGAAATTGATTAACACATCAGTTACGAAGAAAATTCTTTTTCCACAACAACTACAGAAACGAAATAGAGATCAGAGACCACCGACTCATCGATCTAGCGGCAAATACACACTTAGCACATGCGCGCTCTCGCCTCAAAAATCTAGGTCATACACGTTCTCTCGCTTTGCAAGAATCTACATCTCTTCATCACTAATTAATTAATAACTCGCTAATTAAACGACATAATTTATCCAAAATCAATAGACTTCTGCTCCGAGATATGGTGAATGCACATAAAATTTGGAGCAGATCACCTGTATCTAACAGATAAACAGACAAACAGACAAGTACTCTTTAACATACTTACCGATCAAGATCGATAAGTGACAACAATACTTCAACAAAACGACCAATAGGTCCATTTCGGGGTGTCCAATAGGTTGCTGTTGACAAAACACTATTCTCACTGTCTTGCTCTTTTTGTGTGATTTCAACCATAAATATGTTTGAATGTGAATATTTACGAATGAAATGAAAAATTTCCCATTTAATCGAAGGCAGGCGCAATTGTAATATTCTCTCAGGACTAACTTCTCCAGGCCTAAAGCATTGTTTAATTATAATCATGATTCGGTTACAAATTTATTGATCTTTTTGATTTATGATTTGAAATAACATTTCTATGCTTCAAGAAAAAAGAAAAAACATACACATTTACATTACATATAAAATTACTATTTCGACACTTATTGTGTTTTTTGCTTTCAAATCTAAAATTCTAAAATATTTGCTTAAAATTGGAGTGGCATCACTCGATAGTCTATTTCTCCACATATTCCAAGCAACTTATATTAATTAGAAAGTTTTTAATTAAATGAAAACGGAAATTATTTGATGCCAATTTGCTCGTTTAGCAAATCACCTCTAAGCTTGATTATACCTGGAAACAATTTATATCAGGAAACAATTCCAGCTGATAATTTCCGTCCATATTTAAGAGCAAATTTATAAATTCTTTTAATAAAAATAAGACCAAATATGAGGTACTTCTTTGGCCATGTAATAGATTTAATCAATGAAATAAAAAGTATGATTTATCTAAAAATCGCATCCACCGATAGTGGGCAGTATCTTTGCCAAAATCACTAAACATTTTCATAACTTACACTGCAATGGAATTAGCAACAAAAGACACAATAACTATCAAAATTTAATTTGATAAAAGCGATTAATTAAATTCATAATTTTTCTAAATATATATTTCAAAAGAAGAGAGTTATGGATACTTTCAATCATTCAGCAGTTAAAATACCTTCGTTTCGTATTCCTTTAAAAAGATTATTACATTCACCACTTTTGGGGGTTCCTTGTCTGAACTTGTTTCCCCAAAATCGCGACTACTCTTTTATTTTTTGCAACAAAATTTTGCCAGCTGTCGATTAACTGTTGTCACTAAGTTATGATTAGATTGCGTTTATTATTCAGTACAGTTTGTTAAATCATTTTTAAATATTTATTCGTTTTTAAAACTCCGCTTATATAGTATATAGCATCTTCTTTAAAGTTGCGGAGCAATGAATGAAGCCTTCCGTAAGTTTAACCAGTGGTTATCAAACTTTATTAATATATAGCATCTTCTTAGTCACTGCCAGTCCGGCAATAAAATTAAAAATAATTCAATGATGAAAATAATCGACGATCATAAGTGGAACCATATCGATCGACCCTATGTTAAAGATTGGCCGTGAGTTGATGTAATAAACCTCAATCAAGCCTCAATAATTTTCGTAGAGGGTTTCATTGTTGGCTCGAACTCTTGTTGAAGGAAGTGGTTGTTCGTAACCAGCATTTTCTTCTAATACATTTTCGTATGCCGTTTCGGCAGTTTGATGGTTGGACGTTGTTGCTCCTGAGGAATAAAAACATTTACTAAAAATATACTAAAAATCACAATTTGTCAAGTTATTAGGTTAGTTTGACTATTTGTAGGACGTACTTTCAATACATTGAGCTGTATTAAAGTTTAACCGTTATTAAGTTTGACCGTTCTTTGTTGTTGAGGAAAGTACCCTCTGCTGAGAATAGGAAATATTTTCAAGTTGGCAGAAAATCTATTAGAAAGTTTTTAAACTTAATAATAAATTATTTTAATTCGATGTTTATTTAAATGAATGATAATGCTGTTTTTGCTTTTAAATGTTAATTAGAAGGGTTTATATTTGAGAAGCAAAATTTTCATTTCTTTTGTAGTTTTATTTTGTATATGAAAGTTAATGGGCCACAGAATTTGATGTGCAACAAAAGTGGGCCACGAAGGAAAAACGATTGAGAAACACTGATCTATATCAATACTATTGGAAGAGCTACTTCAGCTTATATATATATTTTTTTTATATAATGTATATGTGTTTTAGCATTGAAACCAACACCGATTGTTCAATCCCGTTGCGCTAGGACTGTGCTATAGTTTATGATAATTTTTTAATGCACAATCATCATTTGGACCTCCTGAAGTATGTGAACCAAGATGGTGCACAACATGAAAATAGTATGTGTACCAGGTTAGGGTTCAGGTTATGCGACATCTTGGAGCACCTAATTCTGGAGCACCCGTAATTTCAATAGTGTCTCGCAGTTAACAAACCAAGCCCAATACTGTTCATAAATTTTGCAGAGTGTAATTTCCATTTTACCTTGATCCGATATGGTTTCGTAGTTACGAATTTTTATGGCTTCGTTTTGTTCCATTTCCTCTATCTTGAGCTTCTGTTTACGTATGATCCATCCAGTGATTCCGAGGAACAACAGTGGGATAATAAAACCAATCAGAAAACTCGGGAGGTTGAAAGTAAAAGATTTCTTTTCTGAACAAAAATTCAAATTTAAGCTTTCGAATAAATTCAAAATATAACTTTTATTATCTAATCATCTATATAAATTGGAAAATAAATATTCAATTTCTAACTATTTGTGATAAATTTTTTCTAACTCAATCTTGACTTGATTAAACATAGTAATATAAAGCGACTTTTTTCCAATGGCGAGAAAAAAGAATAAATAATTCCAAATGTAATTTTAGGTATTCCAACTCGATGTAAAAAAGGCATAACTAATTGACAACGGTGACGTCACCTGTTCCCAAGGTTATCTGCGAACTTCGTTTGAGGTAAATCTCTTTTTCGGATGGCGTTGCAGAAACGATTGAAATGCTAGAATAAAAATTAATAATTTTTACTCAATGGTATTATTATATTTACCTGAAATTTCATAGGTACGACAACTACTGTGCTGACCTATTGGCATGCTATTTGAACAATATATAGATTTTCTAGTAAAAGTAATTTCATAGCATGCCAACTTATTACACATATTTTTTTGAAGTTTGTCCAATCCCACCAACATAGTCAAGTGATTCTGCTAAAACATCGCCTTCATAAATTCCACAAAATTATTGTAATGTTGTTTCCAAGTATTTTCATAATATATATATATACGCATTGAATTTAATTTTATTTCTGCTTTGACAAAGTCTTCTAATAATATTGAAAACACAATTAATACAAAACTGCGATTACGGCTTGAAATAGGTAAAAAAAATATATACATTGGATCGAGAAAGATTTCGTGGTTCTTTTGACCTAAACGCGGAAAAATGAAGCAATTAAACTATTAATAAATGTCGCAAAATTTTGAGGGTTGATTGTTTTGAAATAAAGATTCATTGTGGACGAAAAATGGTTAGAATATTGGGATAAAATGGAAACACAGACAAAATCAAGTCAAATAATATATATTACACCAGGAACCTTGGGGAATTTTCTTTCTTCAATTTCCTATTTGTCCCGATGAATAAGAAATCGGTTTCCATCGGCACGTCATGTGTCGTTTCAAATCCTGCGATATCACATTGAGTTACTGACTCGTCTCCGAGTGTAACATTAAGAGTCTTTTCTTTCATACTAAAATTTAATTATATTCAATTTACTTTATTCGAAAGTTCCACAAATCTATTGAATAATCAGCTTGTTCGAACATTTAATCAAGTGCCTTATCTCTCGTGGGTTATCTATACCAATGGGCAATGCCATCATTTCATCATTTAACCGAAATCAAGTCCCCCGCCTTGATATACCGGTGAGATCGCAGCTGATCGGCAACTTCGTAGTAAAGGTGTTCGGCTGGTCTGACGTTACGTCACTGCCACTGAATTATTGCCAGCAACAAATATCAGCCCATCTGCAACAATTTAACAAAACGATCCCTATGCACTGTTCTTGACCAACTTGGCGTATACCATAAACCGAGATACAAAGTCCCAATCTAGAAGAGGAGCTTGGTTAATTTTCTCTGATCATGAAGTGTGTATTGAGATTTTATTTACAAATACTTGGGATCAGTCATTAGAGTCAAAATTTTAATTTGTCTGGAAACAAAATTCAAGTTGGAATTCAAGAATTCCAAGTTCCAATTTTCTATTACTGAACAAGATAAGCAATTCTGAATATACTTAAATATAACATATTGCGCGCCACTGATATGAATTTAAATCGAATAGGAATCGAAGTAGTGACTGAAAGACATAAATTCAGAATGGCATCATGAATATTTGTGACACAATTTGCCGATATCAAATTGAAATTTTTCATTAAAAAGAATGAATAACTCAGGTAAGTAAAATGGTTGACTATCAAGTGGCAATATTTTTGCATTTAAATTTACCTCGCAACCTCAATTGCCAGTGCGATGTATTTTTCCCCATCCGCTGTGCTGTTGAAGGTAATCAAATCATCCATTGTAAATTCAGTGCTTGTTTCAGAGACGTCCATGTCAACATTTACGAATATGCAACTGCAAAGTAAAGTATATCAAATCCAATTTGTTGGCCCAATTAAAATCAAAGTTCAAGATATTTGGCAATTTATAGTCGTATATCACATGACCTGAAACATCAGAATACAAGAACTCGAAAATCTGATATCCTGGCCAAAATGGCTGATTGGGATAATTTGGTTAGACTATGTGATAACATAACGGATCTGCAATGCGCTGTTTCTACAAAATATCAGTGATTGAAATAATTGAGGAGGCAAAAAACATTGTGTTTTACATGTAAATTGTGTTGTACCATTTCTATGTTAACAAACAAAAAGCTATCAGTCCTATAAAAGACAATTTTTTCAACCAAAGTTTTGCTATTTAATTTTGATTTACTGGAAAATTCGATATTTTCTGAATCTGTCACGCGTGTACGACAATTTCTTTTCAGCAAAATCAATACTCTCAGATCTTATCGTACGGGTATGAGATTCGTGACCTTCGTTTTCATATATTCGAGAATTGCTGTTTTGTTTGATAAACTTTCGATCTCACCTAATAAGACCATTACTTTCATAAGGCATTTGTATCGTAATATTTATTTCGCCACTCTTGCTGATCCCTGAATCTCCAACAATTTTAGGAGGATGAACCATTGTTGGAGCTGAAAGTGAATAATTGCCAAGACTAGAATTTGTTCAAGGAGAATAAATATAAATAATACAAGGGGCTATATTGTATAGAAAACTAGGTACTTCCGTAGTATGTGAACCAAGATGGCGGCCACCGGAACTTAGTTTGTGTACCAGGTTATGGTTAGACCATAATTTCAGGTACAATTACTACGGGAGTCACTTGGCTGGGCCCCGAACTCGTTATAGAATTAAAATGAGGAAAATTGGAATAAAATTATGACCAAACCTTAACCTGGTACACATACTATGTTCAGGTGTCCGCCATCTTGGTTCACATGCTACGGGAATGCCTAAAATTATCATCAAATAAATATTTAAATATTTTATTTATTATATTGGGATGGTAATATACTTGATTGCCAGTTAAATGTACGTTTACAAAACTAGATAAACTTAATTTACATTTTTATAGAAATTAACTATGATTGCTGGTAATACTTCTGGTTCTTGCTATAAATTACAATGAATTTTTGCGTGGTATCGAAATATTATATAGCAGTTCCACGAGAAGACTATCATAAGACACTCAATGTATATTCAATACGCTAAACACAGTCATATTCACAGAAATAGAGATAGAAATCGACAACGACTTTATTTACCTTTCGAACTTCCTCTACATGCACCATGCACTCGCAAAGATTTACTGGATCCGGCGCAACTGAAGATTGCCACGGACGCAAAGTATTCCCGATTTGGCTTTGGTTGAAACTGATACTCTGTTGCTGATGTCATATTTAATATGTTTGAGTCTACATTTTGTATTTCAGAAGACCGCGTTGTGACCAGAATGGAATTCAAAACCAATTCCTGAAGTATGATCGATGTATCACATACAGATTTGTATATTCGATAGAATTATTTTTTTGTTATTTTTAATGGAACAAAAAATCTTATATAATATTTTGTTTTACATTTTACATAGAATTTAGATACTTAATAATTTTTCAATTCGCAAATTTTCATATTTCATGCCTCAGCAATATGTTGCAAAATAATCTTATTTTAGATCTGTTTTGAAATTTCATTACTTATCCCTCAAAATAAGGTTAGTCATAATTGCGTCGTACTGCATTTCTTAAGAGTATTGATATTATTATGATTTGAAATCACCAATTTTTTACACCTAGGTTTAACGTGGATTCCGTTTATACCTCACAATTACACTTTACACATTTTTGAATTTAGCGTAAGCTGATTTTTGAACTATGTTAGAATATGGGTATTAATGTACAAATAAATCGTTTGTTGCACCGAAACAGAGAGTAAATAAACAATAGAGGTGAATTATTGACTTACCACTGTATACAATTCCATGCTTTCTTCATTAACTATATCCCATGATATAACGCAGGTTTCATTTTCCTCACTTTGTTTAATGAAAGCTGACTTTACGCTTAAAGCTTTTCCTCCTGGTTTTACGATTGTTCGTGCAAGCAAACGATTATTGATCATTTCTGGACACACAAATTTTGATAAGCATGCTCTAATCTGAAAAAAATTATTAATCTTTTTTAACACTTTGCCTAGTGCATAAATTATAATATTCTAGAGTAAAATATCGAAATCATTTTTTTTACTTCAAAAAACATTTTATTTTCTGATTTGATACATATGGAATTATGGATTACTATTTTGTTGAGATCAAAAAAATCAAAATTTAAATATTTTAGTTGTTGAAAATGAAAATGTCCATCAACATCCAATTGCTTTTACGTTTTTTTTTCATATTTCTCCGCGGGCTTTCTGAGAATAACCGTTTTGGCCCAAATTCTAGTATTTCAAAAAAATTTGCCACTTTGGTTATCTGCCAACTTCCAATTGCATTGTACCACACGGTGCAACATTTGTGGAAATATGTTGAGTCATTTTTTACTTGTTATTGTCGAATCTAGTCTAATTCGGTCGGCTATTTTTAGGGTCAAAATAAATATTTCTTACACGTAGTTTATATGTTGTATCGGAATCTAAATTATTTATCAATGTCGACTGTGGCTGGGGTTTCAGTGGTGTGACCCATTTTGTTTTTACTTTATTAATCCATGATCTTGTTGAAATTCTAAAAAAAAAAAAAATCAAAGAGTAGCACGAAATTGAACACAGTGAACATTATTATAAGTTATTCAAAAACTATCGTTTTTCTGATATAGTCCGAACGAGCAATTACTTGCTATTTTACGGATCTAGGGTGTCCCTTGCTTCAAAACAATTTTTCAACCTTAATTACCACTCATTTAATAAGAGTCGAAAGGTATCGGCAAGAATGCTTGAACGCTTCAGCTATATTTTTTCTAATCAATTCTAACGCCTCTGATTTTATCAAAGAAAATTCTGTTAAATTGCTGTAAATTTCTTATGAAATGCTGTAAAATAAGACGAAACAATAAAGGTATCAGACTATAAAACTTCATCGTAACCCGGAAATCAAAGTCTTATTTCGAATGTTATACATTCACATATAACTACAAACAAAAACAGTATTACCTGACCGAACTATGAAAAAACGTCAATGACGCATCCTAAAATACGCATATTCATGTTTACATTGCTCATTAGAAATAACTGTTAAAAGCGAAATTAAAAGAGGAAAAATCTGAATATCCCGTATATAATTTTATACGCAATCGCTTTCACATATAATTTTGTTAGGTAATCTCAAGTCGCGACTTTGATTATGACAATACTGAAACTAAAGCCCAAAATATTTTGCTCGAAAAAAAGCACAAAAATTGATCCAGATTAAATGTAAATAACAAGGATAGTAAGTATTGGACCATTAAAATAATCTCACTTGTGAGGAAATCCAACTGCATTTTTGCGAGGTTCCCACGAGATTAACAAACTGGAGTTGCACGTGTAATTCTGAATATGGTTAATTGTTGGAGTTCCCTCAACTGATAAAATAATGTAGTTGGTTAGCGAATGTAAAGGAAGATGCACTATTTGAAAAATGAATGAAAGCTTAATGTCTGAAGGTTAATTGGAATTGACAATCTTTTCTGTGATAGAACAAACCTAGAATACATCGAAAGTAAAATATGAGTCGCATTTCGTGATTTCTGCGTGGACATTGAGCACAAAGTTGACCCATGGACTTTTTTTGTAAAAATTCTGGATGTTGCTTGTATTCTTCTTTTTTTTTGTCGCTATTTATGTGACAAAATTGTCATTCTTCTTTATCACTCGATAAATTGCTTTAAAATTTGGAGGGTTAATAAATGTTGTTTTTGCTGTAAGGCGATTACTTTTTATTATCCATGAGCTCTATAATTTTTTTTTTAACCTTGAAGTTTTATGTGATTTCGTCAACAAAATTAAAGAGAGCGCACCATGCGCCGATTTGACGATCGTATATCAGAGATCCGTTGGTCAGTTAAGTAGGAAGTATTTTGATAAGAAAGACTGCCGGTATTGTAAAAGATGAGATACTACTTTGTCGTGAATTTTGTGTCTATATGTATATGTAGGTATTGCTCTTTTGTTTCGTACGTCATTATTTATATTCGACTAATCAATAGTGACAATTGAAAATGTTTGGCGCTCCAGTAGTATATATGTAGTAGTATATATACCAATATAGTGGTAACAAATTTTGTTCGATTATTTTACATTAGGATGTGTGAAGGAACTGAAACCTATAGTCAGCGGGTGTATTCACTTGGTTAACAGAGACAGTCCCCGAACTCGTAACAGAACTAAATCAGGGAAAATGGGAATAAAATTATTGCTTAATCCTAACCTGGTACTTATACAACGGGATTACTAAATGTCCTAGTCTAGAAACTGCGTGTATGAGCTGATCGCTACTGTAGCCGAGTGATGGAACATGTCTCTTGCATAGGGCTTTAGAATATGAGATCTCAATCAGACAGTTTCAATTAAAACGGGAATAAACAGCCAACAATTTTATATCAATGTTACCTTCATATTCAATTTTGTTTCCTCCTTGTTTAACACCGTTAACCCAAGACCAACAGAAGTAGTTTCCTGCATCTGATATATCTGCGTTTTGTAGATGTAATATTGCTGATCCAGATTGCTTTGTTTGATAAACACGCTTGCTAGGATCTGTTGGTATCACGAAACTCGTATACCATTCAACATTAGTACCCTTGTTACACATGGTCTTAGTACAAGTCATCTGAGTTTGACCTGTACTTTGAATTTCCAGAAAAGGACCCTGGAACTCTGTTTTTAATGATATTGTACATCAAAGATTAGATTTTATTGAAGTTATACCACGTGCATGACGACCATATAAATAACCTAAAAATACCAACAATGAATATTGCATAAAATTCTTTTTTGGGTAGCATTTTAAATCAACTCACTCACTAGGTACCTTCACCGCGGCCGTCGGTTTATATATTTCATGAGTGGCCAACACGTTGATCGCGATCGACCGGTCGATCGCCACGTCTCGAGTAGTCGATCGCGTCTGACGTTGAATAAATTTAATAACATACCCCAAAAAATTGCCTTGAACCGGTTTCATACAGTGCCTGTTGTGTGTTTTAAAACAGGAAGAATATGGTACTGTACATGCGCAAAATACGATATACACATGCAGTACCCTGATTGGGTATGGACAAGTCCAATGGAGTATAATATCACGTAACAAAAGTTTCACTACTGCCAAGTTTTAGAAATAAACTTGCGGAATATTGTGTGCCTTGACAAACGATTCTACAATAATTTCTGCACTGTGCGAAAGTTATTGTCTCACTCCAAGAGTAGTGTGATAAATTTAATTCGAAACGGTAGCAGTGGCATCAGAATGCCCTTTTTTTCTAATTGCAAGCGAGCACAGAATCACATTTAAATTAATTGTAAATTAGATAATGAAGTTTAAGCAGTCATGTAACATTTATGGTTCGAAAATGTTCATTATTCGCTTTTTAGATAATACATGGATACTTTTCAAGGTTTATTTTGGAATTGAAAACACTTACGACTAAAAAGTAGACAGGCCCTAGATCTGAATTGTAGGATTTGAATAAATTTAAAATAAATGATGAAACATTTACTCCGGGTACAATTAAATAATCAAATTAACAAATTCAATGGAATATGAAAAAATTAAAAGGGGAAATTTTTGTAGCAATTTCTCTGAGAATGCGCCGGCAGATCCGAGCTTATTGGAAGCTGTGGAATTTTTGTATGCGTGTGTGCGGTTATCTGCGTATCCAGTATTCATACATTTTTGTTTATGCCTTTATTACCGATTAGTCGAACGAGAGCTAATTTGAAGAACTTAGTCGATCGCGGTCGAAAGCAGGTTGGCCACCCTTGATATATTTGATAGAACTATCAATTCAAGGAGGTGATGACTTTTCATATTAAAAACTGGTGGTATATTTCAAACTAAAACATATACTAGGGTACATGAGGTTCGTATATAAATTTTACTGTACTTATGGCTTATTAGTTGTTTTGCAGAAATAATATAAAGCTTCTGTATTATGATTTGATGCTAAACATGAATTATCGTGTATATTATATATTGGGGAATCATAACTTTATTTTAGTGCTACAAAACCAGATATTTTCGTTATAAAATTATTTGTTTTTGTGAAATTCGACAAGATTTATGAGGGAGCTACGACATCTGATCTATTTCATCACCTTTTTGGCAAATAAAATTACGTTTTTCCTCGCACTTATAATCTCTCCAAACAAAATCATCCTGAACAACAACCAAACAATCCTCATTTTCCGCGTTTGGTTCTGTAGCCCCCCTGCATCAAAAAAAGAAAAGATGAACTGACAACTCAAAGTTTTGTTGCACATAGCTACAAGGAGGTTGCCAA